AATCTCAACAAAAACCGACAAGAGCAAGTCAATCGAGCAGGAGGACCCGGACTTGCCAACAATCGGGAACTTAGCACCACCAACTTGAAGCCGCCAGGGGCCTCCCAAGCCGATTCCTCTTCCTGTCCGAGTCCTCCAAGCGCGCAATGCCGCTCTAGACCAGTTGGAAGGCCGATCATCTGGATCGTCGAATGACTTGGCTGATGCTCCTTATCTTCGAGATCTGTATCATACTTTCATGTATCCTCAGGCGCTCCCGAATCCCGACCCTGACCACGATCCCGACATCGATCGCGACAGCTGGGCTACATTCACCAATGCCAATCGGTACAATCCCCGAGGCCAGACCCAAGGAAAGCAACAGCGTCCCTCCGGCCTGCTATTCCTCCCCAACTCCAACATTGCGTCCAGTCCTACCCTCGGTCCTGTTCCCGATCCCGATCCGTATCCATATCCATATCCCCATACCACCCGGGCGGTCGAATCCAACCCCTCTTCCTACGATACCACCACCACCTCTGACCGCCTAACCCAAGCCCAAGCCCAAACCCAAATACATGGCTCCCACGATTCCTACTCTTCCTCATTCTACTCCACCCCCTCCCTCTACGACGACAACAACAACACCCGCGTACGGTTCGACTACCGCGACCTTCCCTCGCCATTAAGCCCTCCTCCTCTTCTTCCTCGTTCTTCTTCTTCTGGAGCTGGCGGGTTGAAGTACAGCCTGCCGCCGAGACCGAGGACAACGTTAAGGGTGGTTGATGAGGAGACGTTGAATCGGTTGGAGGGGATAAGTGAGGAGGGCTTTCTGAGTGGGAGTGGGAATGGGATTGGAAGTGGAAGTGGGAATTGGACTGGGATTGGGATTAGTGATAGGGGCGGAAGTGGGAGCAGAAGTGGGAATGGGATCGGTGATGGAGGTGATAATAGGGAGGAAGAAGATGTTGAGTTGGACGAGATTCCTATTTCGCCTTTACCACCGGCACCGGCTTGGCTGGGTAGGCCATCGGACAGAGTAATAGGGGAGCCGGAGGGGTACGGGTACACCGAGGGCCCCACGAGGGTGCAGACAGAGGGCCAGCAGCAACAGGAACAGGAATGGAGATATGGGGGGTGGGGACGAGAGCAGGAGCAGCAGCATGGACAAGAAGTCAGAGAGACACGGAGTACTGGTAAGAAGAACGGACGAACGAGGGTTACACGATGGCCTGGAATGTGGGGCATTGGTTCAGGTTCAGGTTCAGGTTCAGGATATGTAGGACACAAGGAGAAGGATATGGATGGACAGTGTACCTCTAGCAGACATCGTCACGGTGGATTCAGAGCTAGGTCTACCAGGTTGTTTTCCACTATTGGGGCTTGGTTGAATGGGATTGATAATGGTGGTAGAAATGATGGGACTCGTCATCAACGGGATGGCTACGGATTTAGGTCAAGGAATGGGAGCGGAGGTCATCCATGGGATAGCCAGCAGTGGGATATGGTTTGAATATATAAGGTACAGGATAATATCTGGACATGCAGATAGATGAAAGTATTCCCTTTGTGATATATATTCCTTCGTACGAGGTTTCCCCAACCGGCTATCTTTCTGTTTCTTTTCGAGCCGCACAAAGGGATGTTTCTGGGGAAGTCCTGGGCATCCTCCGTGCCTGGCGCTCAGGTGAAGAGCTCGGGAGGAAAAAAAAGGAAAAAAAAAGAAGGGTAACCAGTTCAGTTGCCCAGATCAGCTTGGTAAAAGAGAGACCTGGAACCGCTAGGCTATCTGGTCTGGTGGTTGTGGGAAGGCCTTCTTTGTTCATTGTGAGTCTTCTCCAAGCCCAACGTTTGATCTCTCATTCCCAGCCCCCAAATCAGCGCCGCAAGAGAGCGAAATGTCCGGGAATACCTAGAAGTACCGAACCTAGGCAGTCTTACATGGTAATCTTGTACGCTTTTACATGCTGCAATGCCTTCGGTTATTTTACATTGGAGAGAATAGCAGCCTTCTTGCTTTAAATTCATCGGAATTATTACCTATGCATCAATACGTGGCTAGATGTATCTTATGGTGAGTGTAATATATTGCCTGACGCTTTATTTGTTCATAAAGCCAAGTCCGCTGTCATATCTCAATCCGTAATCCAAAATCCAGCGATCTGGTTTCCTCCTTTATTGAGTCGCGATGCCGTTGAAAATGGGTAGAGAGCTCTTCTTAGTCAACCTGTATGCCCCGCCATCCATTCACCAGCATCGCCCTTTTAACCTCGCACTTCCTCCTCCTTATCCAAAGACGAGATCCAAGATGGGAAAATCAAGCCGACTTTCCCTTCATTAACCAAGTATATCATCCTCCCAGATATAAAAGCCTTCGCAAAAGCCACCACTCCGGCCCCTAATTCCTGTGTTCAACGCCCTGAAAGAAAGAGGACAAACGTGGTGAAGGCGGGCGGTCCTCCTTCAAAAATTCTCGGGTCTGTGAGCTTCCACAGCAGCAAAAGAAAAAGAAATGCAATGGTCACTGCCTACGTGACGAAGACCAGAAGATAGTGCCCGAGGTAGAGGACGGGGATGGGTACGTTTTCGTTGTTAGACGAGCCGGGATCTATCGGATTGACAAATGCTCGTAAGACGGTTTCGGCAACTTGGCGGCGGGGGTCCGTTTCTTCAGGCTCGAGGAAATCAAATGTCATTGCCGAGAAGGCGAAAGAGAGGATTTTCAAGGCGATGCGCAGAGTTGTTTTGGCTGCGTTAGTGACGCGCCTTGCTGGGCATAACTATGGTAGGTAGGTAACGAGGGCGGTTAGAAGTGTGGAGAGATAATCGGGTGTGATGGGGCAGCTATGTACCTGCACGAGAACCATGTTGGACTTTGCGTCGAGATGTCGTCGACAAAGGATGTTGTTTAAGTGAGTGTGAAAGTGTTGGATAAAATTGAAGAATTATGAGATTATCGTACGCTGTGTTACGACGAGTTGAGTGTCGTGTACCATTATAAGGCGGCGACACGATGTGTTTCCAAGCCAGCTCTTCTAAAAAGAATCGCAAAAAAATACAACTCCCCCTTCCTCTTTCGTCCTGATAATTGTTTCTGTATCCGGACTGCTTTTGGCGGCATATCAGCCAGCCAGGTGGTCGTGATTCCCTTCTTGTATGATCCCCAAAACGATACTTCCTCAATAGTACCGGTTCCGCCTCCTGCGATTTCTAGGTCTGCCAATATCATATGTCCATCCCGACCGTGATCCCCCGAAATGGTACGTGCTAGTATCTCGCACACCGCTAATGCCCAACTGGTCAGCAACATTGACGTATCCTTCCGAGGTCACCTTCCCCTTCTTGATCTTCCCGATCATGTCATCATCACCTTCCCAAATGCTCCTGCAGTACGGGCAAGTAACTTCTTTGGCTCCATCATCCTGCTTCCGTTTCGTGGACGCCCACATCTCGAAACATTCCTTGTGAATATTCTGACCGCAAGCCGCACGGCACCAGACGACTTCCGCGGGCTTGTTTGCCTCCATGTCGCAAAAGCAGATGGGGCAGTCCTCTTCAATCGGCTTCCTCTTCTTGTCATCTTCGCCACCTGTTGCAGCACTGTCTCCATCTTCCAGAATCGGAGGGGCATAACCAAAGATCTCTTCGAGCTCGGAGCTCAGCAATGCCAGCTGGTAAACATATTCGTACTTGGCACGCAGTACCCGGGCCAGCACGTAAACAATGTGCTTGCACTGTTCGTTCTTCTCGCCCATGGGGCAGGTGCATTCCGGCTGTCGTTTAATCGTCACGGTGTAGACGTTGCCTGTCGAGCCAGCAAGTTCCACCTCCTCTCCGGGGCTTTGGAAGCCGACAAATTCGGATGTGCGTTTACGCGAGAGGACGAAAAAGCGTTGGGTTGTGGCTCGTTCGTAGATGACAGCGAATGCTTGGGGTGCTTTATCACGGAATCTGGATGGGAGCCAGCGAGAAGCCTAAGGGATTTGGGGGGCCAAAGCATCATTATGTGTGGCGACTGTGCGTACCTGCGTGCTCGCTTCTCGTCTGTAGCCAGGGCTAACTCATTCTTCGACCTCTTGACCTTCTTCGAAGAGGTAGCTACTGACTTGGTGTCTGGAACGGTGGGTTCACCATCGACTTGCTTCCGCTTTCTGCTCGAGGCAGCTGTCTTGCTGGTGGTGCCCATTGCTGCGACCGGGAGATGGTGATATGGCGTTGAAGAAGGGAAGGAGCTTGGTTGGGATGCTTCCAAACGTCTTTTATCCAAAAGAGATGATCCAAAAAGGAAGAGGAGGTGGGATGGTGACAGAGTGTCCGGTGCTGGATTGATCCAGGATGATGATGACCAAGGACTTGGACCTGGGATGCAGTGGCGAAGGCCATCAAGGCCCCCGTGCAGCTGCCCTGTAAGCAGATGCCCGATAAGCCTGATTAGCACGCTCAAAACGCCAGGTCAGCTGATTTAAAGCGGTGCATGTACAAGCTGATGCTGGTTTGTCTGTTGGCTCGGTACTTTAAGATGTTCGACAAGATATGCCTTAAACTGTCCCCAACCTTGTAAGAACAAAGCAAATGATGAAGCCTAGACTGGAACCGTATTAGAAAGTTTTTAATGTAATATATACGAGGTAAGATAATGCTTTTATCATAGAACGAAAGGGATGAATTCGACATGTGAACGCCTAACAAGGTTGACGAGAGGTCTCGAGCTAACAGACAAATCAGTATTGGACTGTACGTACAATACGGGCTTGCTTGGCTCGAGAGCTTGGGTAACATGGAGTACCCAGATACCTTCCCCGCCAAAGCTTAGCGAGCTTAGCGGATGCAGTTTCCACTTACAGGGCCAGACATGCCTCCGGCCCCGGATTTTCTCATCGTCAATCCCACCACTCGCTAACATCGACGTAGCATCCAGTCACCCAAAGTTCAAAGAACCAAAACTCCAAAGATGAAGGTCGCCCTCCCAAAACGAACACCTCCGTATGCCCGTCGGCATCGAAACTTCCGCCCTGTCCAAAAGGAGCCAAGAGGTGTGCAACTTTGGGGAAAGCGGTGACGAAGACTGTGGTACTGCAACAGCCACATCGAACCATGTTCGGATGCCCATCACCACCATCTCGATGCTCTTGTAAGATATCTCTAGGTTCTCGGCAATGTTTTCCGGGCCAGCGATGATTACCGGATTCAGCTCCGCTGTCATACCCTCATGTGAGGAGGAGATATGCGACCTTGCGCAGGAAATAAAAATCATGGATTCCCTCATGGGGCATATGGACCGGAGTTGCTTTGTGTGATGAAGCCATATCAACCCTTCTGCCCCCTTCTCCCCTTTGTTCATTCCTTGATTGATGCCTTACGGCTCGATCCAGAAAGAAATAAAATAGGCAGCATGTCTGGTATCAGCTTCAGTAAAGTCGCCGGCATATCGGCCTGGACAGCCCTGGTGGCCATCAGTGTGCCATATCTGTCTGAGACTTTTGCCCCCCAGATCTCATCACTCACCTCCTTGGTCGGCGACCTTCCTATACCCAACCATCCTCTCGCAAAGCCCCTGAAACTCTTCAGGAACACAACAGAATTTACAGAAGAACATCAACAGCAGCCCTTTTTCTGTGATGAGTCCCATTCATACAGGACCGAGCTCGTGTCACTCGACCCCCTGATCATATACATCCACAACCTCATAGCCCCCTCTGAGATCACCTCTCTTCTCGACACAGCCGAACCCAGGTTCAACCCATCGGTGGTAACCAAGTACGGCCGCCAACAGCAAACACAAGACCGCACGTCGAGCTCGGCTGGACTACCACGTGATGACCCCGCCGTTAAGTGCGTGTTGAACCGGGCGCGAGGCTTCATGGGCACCATGCTGAGAGATGGCTGGGACGAGATGGGCCCGCCGCAGTTGGTTCGGTACCGGGCCGGTCAGAGGTTCAACGTTCACCACGACTGGTTCGACAGGCCACTGATGGCCAACGATGGCAGCAACAGAGTGTGGAACCGCGTTGCCAGTTTCTTTGCCATACTTCAGGACAACTGTACCAAGGGCGAGACACACTTCCCGCACGCAAAGCCGATCATATCGCCGAGTCCGTGGAATGAGCCCATGTGGCGTGGCGGACTGGAGGACCAGAAACTGAAGAATGTGACTGAATTGAAGCCTCTTTGGCGGGAGCATGAGGATGGAGGGTTGGCGTTCAGACCAGTTGCTGGCAATGCCATCTTTTGGGTTAACCTTCATCCTAACGGAACTGGCGATGAACGGACAAACCATGCTGGACTTCCACTGGGGGATGGGCTCAAGACGGCGATGAACATTTGGCCTAGGCGATACTGGCCTTATGAGTAGAGAGAGGTAAAGGCAAGGCTTGCTGAGTTTGCTACTTTTGATATCCGAAAACCAAGACGATACGATACCTCTTCCGCAGAATGTTCCCGATCAGTTCTTCGCCGACCAGACCTTCTTGCCATCAAACCATGTTTCTAACACATTTGCCTCCTTCAGCTTCTCCTTTTCCCATTCCATATCCACAATGGTGAAGTCGGCCTTGAAACCCTTCTCCAGTCTCCCTATCCTGTTCTCATCACGGCAGCTATACGCAACCCCCTGAGACGCCGCAGCAACCGCCTCGGCCACGCCTAGAGCGAAGTGCGGGTTGACCGTCATCTCGTAGTCAGGCTCCCGGTATGACCTCCTCGTCGTTCCAACGTACACATTCGGCAATGGAGCATGCGGTGCCGTGGGCGCATCACTTCCCAACGCCAACGGCGCCCCATGATCCGCAAACTCGCGATACGCAAAAGCCCTTCCGCACCTGTGTGCCCCCAACAACTTGGGCCACGCCCTCAGGATCGCCGGGTCCGCATGCACCGGCTGGATCGATGCCGTGATGCCCGCCTTGCCCAACCTCTCGGCATCTTTTTCGGATGACAACTCCAGATGCTCCACGCGCGGCCTCCTATCCGGGCTCGCGTGCGCAATCAACACGTCCAAGACCGTCTTGATGGTCTCATCCCCAATCGCATGCAACGCCACCTGCAACCCGGCCTCATCCGCCTTCTTGACGACGGGCACCAACTGCTCGTACGTCCAAAGCGGCACCTCCCTATGTCCATTATGCTCGTACGGCTCCGACAAGCCCGCAGTGCACGCATCGATGATGCCATCACAAATGACCTTTACACCCACAATCCTGCAATCGGGCGTCGTGTCGGCGTTGAACTCTTTCGCGAGCTCAATAGCCCGTTCCACCTGCCTCACATTCTCCTCGTCATTCTTTCCCGGTTTAACCAACCAATACGCCGCAATCCTCAACGAAATCTTGCCTTCGGGCAACCGGTTTCTTAATTCTTGCAACGCATCCCACGCCCCCTCGTCCATGGCCATATCGATCGCCCCCGTGTACCCGACAGCATGATACGCCTCCACGGCCGCCTGGATAGCAGCAACCCGCTCCTCCACGCTCGCCACCCTTGCTAAATACGGCCACACGTACGTGATGTTGGCCGCTTCGTTGAACACACCCGTTACTTTCCCCTCTGCATTGCGCTCAATAGTTCCGCCGGGTACGTCCTTCCATTCTTGGGCGCCCAGATCCTTGATGCCGGCAGTGTTGCACCACGCCGAGTGCAGGTCTTTGGTATCCACCAAGATAGGCCGGTCTTGTCCGTCAATGTCCAATCCGTCCAGGTCTCTGGCTGTAACCCCGTCGGGAGTCATGGAGTGCATCCACCCGCGACACAAGATGCGCGGAACGTCTGGATGGGAAGCGGCGTAGGCGCGGATGGTGGATTGGATGTCTGCCAGGCTCTTGCAGGCGCCGAGATCGAGCTTGGTTAGCGATTGGCCCATTATCATTAGGTGCATGTGTCCGTCGATGAAACCAGGGAGGAGGGAGTTGCCGTTTAGGTCGATGGTTTCGATTTCTTCTGCTGAGGAAGAGAGGGCGGTGGTGATGGGTTCATCTTCCGCGGAGCCGACGTGGAGGATGGTGTCGTTGCGGATGAGCAAGGCCGAAGCGAAGGAGGGAGGGGTGTGCAGGCCGGCGTTTTGGCCTGGCGAAAGGGGGGAGAGGAAGATGCGGCCATTGGTGAAGAGGGTTGTTTTGGCCATGTTGTTTAAGGTGCTCCTTTGTCGTTTAGCTTGGTGAGATATCAAACTGTGAATTCTTGACCGGGTGAGTGAGACGAGTGTATGTAAGTCTCAGAGTGTTGCATCACAGTTCAAGACGTCTTAGTGCCAGTGGAGGGAGATTTTCCCGTAAATAAGGGTCTCGATATTGCGGAGCTGATTCGGATCAGATAAGATAATCAGCGGCACCAGCGGCAATGGTGAGTCGCGGTTTGGTATAGTTTGGGTGGTTCTGGAGCGATCGCCGCTCCGATTTTAGGCCGTGATTGCGGAGTAAAAAGACTAAAAAGTCATGGCAAGTCCCGTCGGCACATGGCTTGACTCGAAACTTTGTGGCAACCCATTGGCGAGGCCGGATTGACAGTGACTTTGCTGTTCTGTGGTTCGGGGCTTCGAGTCGGGTGAGCATTTTGAGGGTGGTCTAGATTTCAATATTTTCGGATGACTCTGAATGTGTGATGTCTTCTCTTTGGGGTGATAGAAACAGATAGCCGGTTATGTTTGGTGACTGATCATCCTTGTTTGTTGGTGTCGCACAACCCAGCCAGACCTTTTCGACAATGGCAACGGGTTCATCATAACTGCTTTCCCGTCTCTACACTATCATCAGTCAGTCATATAAAGGCACTCACCTTTCCAAGTTTGCCTAGTAGCTTTCGTGGTGTTTCCTCAAAAACTCTCATCCGAATTGGATCCCTGGACAAGCCGTGTCTTATCTACTCAGTCCCTTATACACTACGATCATACAAAGACAGGAATTTGACCATCAGTGGAGTCTGGAACTTCCAAATCATATCAACACCATCCTACGCCGTGGTAACTCTATCGACGTCATCCCCTTTGCCCGCCCGTGTTGCTTCAGGGTGATGTTTTCAGGACATCCATCAGTCGGCACAGCGCCGGCCGAGCGGTCGCTTACCCCGGCTTTGGACGGGACGAATGGAACTCGCTGGATGCGGGGAAGTTGGGGTATCATGCCACCTCCTTGCAAGAGGGCATAAAAGTCAGGAATAGCCTCCGGTTGGTCATCTTGGCATGGAATAGAAGCCTTTTTTTAGTTCATTTGTTTCGGTTGTATCCCGCTGTCATTGAATCCTGAGAAGGTGTTGACCTTGGAGAGTTCCTTCGACTGGCAACTCCCACCATGATGAAAACTGGAAAGCGCAAGGAACAAGAAGGCGGGTGTCCCCGAGCCCAGGCCCCAAAGCCCGGGCCCCAAGTTCCCCGAGGCTGGACTCCATGGGGCGCTATCTCCAGGCACGCCAGGGCCATCCCCATTCCCCGCTGAAGCGGAAAACCCTAAACGGCGCAACCCCACCGCCCCAACCCGCCAAGCATCAGGAGATAACTGGAAAGGGAAGGTGTGTCCGTCCGGCCTTATCCCAACGGCAGTTCCTGCTTCCAACTACGCCAGCCTCTTCCTTTGACCAGGGGGTTGAAACTGACAAGGTGAATTATTGGACCAAACTGAACAGAGCAAAGATCTTCTTTTCTGTCGGCTCACTTTGTCTTGTCCCATGGCTGTGTTTACTCTTAGGTAAACCAACACCTCTTCGACGGCGATACCGATGCCACTTCTGGACCCAAAAATCCGGGGTAATCACGGCTCTATTCTTTTCTCATTAGAATTCCGCAATGGATCTTCCTCAACAACCGGATTTTAGGCTACGCTCTTTTCTGACTCGTATGGCTTCCTGGCTGATAGAGATTCAAGACTATCATGGATCATGGATAGACACGCTTATCGCCGGCCACTCGCTTCCCCTGATCGAGTGTGGCATTCCTTGCCCTTCCCCAGTCGAGCTACTGCAAGTCTGCAACGCCCCGTGATAGTGCCCTGAATCTGCCAACGACACCGAGTTGCACTGCATCACCAGTGGAGGGAATGCGCCGCAACCAAGGGCCTGGCTACGGGTATAAGCTCTAGCGGCATGGGGCAGAACAAGGTTGCCGGGCTTGGATATGGCTGCCATGGATTTCGACGACGACATGGACAGACTGAGACATGTGCTCCAAAGAATGAAATAAACCCTGCCGATCTTATCTCGAAAATGCTACCATAAGAGCGCCGCTGACCTCGACGCACAAGACCGAATTCAAGACTTTGTTCCCCTCCTTCTCTTCTCCTGGTTGTTGTTGCTGTTGGTTGTTGTCTGTTGTCTATCCGTCTTCGTTACCGCGGGCCTTGTCTGACCGCTACACCAAAGACAACTATCACGAACCGAATCTCGACCAAAACCCAACATTTGCCTGATCTCGAAAAAGACACTGCTCTTGTCACCATGTCCAAATACGGCGATGGAAGCTTCGCCGAGAAGCAGGGAGGCGGCGAGGCCTTGGATGTGGCTTCTTCCAACAACCGAGGAGAGGTCATCGACGGCACCATTTCTCTAGACTCCGAACACCAGTTGCAAAGAGGTCTCAAGAGTCGGCACATTCAGTTCCTGGCTTTGGGAGGAGCGTATGTTGCAGTCCCTATCCCTCTACCATTCACTTCCCCTCTGCTGCTGGACTTTCATGCTAACAATGCTCTTCTTCACAGTATCGGAACAGGTCTCTTCGTCGGTTCGGGTGGTATTCTAGCCACCGTTGGCCCAGCACCGCTATGGCTGGCCTATCTGTCCATGATGCTCCTTGTCTGGATTGTCATGAACTGTATTGCAGAGATGTGCACATACCTTCCCCTTAGAGGAATCACACTACCCTACTTCACCGAGCGCTTCGTCGATGCCAGTCTAGGGTTTGCCGCTGGCTGGAACTATTGGTGAGTTTCTTTAGGGATATGGGATCGATAGCTGCAGTTCAACTGACATGACGGTCGTAGGTATGCGTACGCCATCCTTGTCGCTGCGGAAGCGTCCGCCGGCGCCATCCTCCTCAACTACTGGGACACACCAGTTCCCACCTGGGCTTGGATCACCATTATCCTTATTGTCAACCTGATTTTGAACATCATTGCGGTCGAGGTCTTTGGCGAGGCTGAGTTCTGGTTTGCCAGCATCAAGTTCATCACTATTATGGGGCTCATCATCGTTGGTCTCGTTATCATGCTGGGAGGCGGACCCAACCACCAGCGGTTAGGATTCCACTATTGGAACGATCCAGGAGCGTTCAAGGAGTACCTCGCACCTGGTGCCACTGGCAGGTTCGCCGCATACTGGACAGCCTTCATCCGTGCCGGATTCAGCTTCATCACCTCCCCCGAGCTCATCGGTCTTGCTGCCGGCGAGACTGTCGCACCGAGGCGCAATATCCCCAAGGCTGCCCGCCGTTTCTTGGGCCGTCTCGCTGTGTTCTACGGTATCAGCTCCTTGATCGTAGGCTGCATTGTTCCCTCGGATAACAAGAACCTGCTTTCTGACGCCTCGGACGCCAGCGCCAGTCCCTGGGTTATCGGTATCCAGATTGCCGGTATCAGTGGCTTGAACCATGTTATCAACGCTGCCATCTTGACCTCTGCTTGGTCCGCTGGTAACGCGTTCTTGTACTCAGGGTCCCGTATCCTGTTTTCGCTAGCTCAGAACGGTCAAGCCCCCCGCATTTTCACCAGAACCACCAAGCGCGGTGTCCCATATACCGCCGTCTTGATGACCTGGGCGTTCTCCCTGCTTGCGTACCTGAACGTATCCAACAACGGCGCACAGGTCTTTACCTGGTTCTCCAACCTTTCCACCATCTCGGGATACATCGGCTGGATTGTTCTGCTCATCACTTTTTTGCGATTCCGTCAGGCGCTCAAGGTCCAGGGACTCTTGGCGACACTTCCGTTCAAGACTCCAGCTCAGCCATATGCGGCTTGGTTTGCCCTGGTCATGATCAGCATCCTGACGCTCACAAACGGATTTCAGGTGTTTGTCGACTGGAACTACAAGGACTTCCTTGCGGCGTACATCACCTTGCCTGCTTTCCTCGTCCTGTACTTTGGCCACAAGATGTGGTACAGGACGCCGTTCCATAAGCCCGCTCATGAGATCGATGTCTTGACGGGCAAGAAGGAGATGGACGATATGTGCGCCAATGATGTGGACCCGGTCCCGAGGAACTGGTTGGAAAAGATCTGGTTCTGGATTGCATGATTATTGTTGTCGTGATACCCGTCAATTGCATTTTAACAATCGGAGTTTTCTTTCTTCAAACACATCGTCCTTGTTGATTCCCTGACTTGTTTTGTTTTGTCTTCTTCGATTCCCCGGACGAGGTGAGGTTGAAGCGAAATAGATGTATGACCACGAACTCAGATCCTCAGCTTCCAGCACATGTCCGCACTCAAAAATCAAACAGTGACTCACTCGCACCATACTCGTCCCCCTTCATCCGACGTCAAAGAAATTCGCATCGACTGATTTATTGCACGAGGGCCTGGTGCCATCAGAATGATCCGAGCAGGTGGAACTTGGACAGCAACGGCGAGTCTTGGATTCAGATTGGCGCTGGTGGCCAAGCCGCCACAGCCCAGTACAGCAGCCCTAAGGAACAGGAGCTAGGCTCGTATAGGGGATCGTGATGGAGTTTTTGTCTTGGCTATCAGTCCACCCAGTGAGGCACGACGATTATGGCTGCCCAGACCACTGCAACATCATGCGATTTTCTCGCTGGACGGCCACCCAGACTCTCTGTTTGTTTCCCAATCACGACTAGACAAGCTGCGCAAGTCCTGCAACAGGCCGATCTGACGGGAGCCTCAACCATTGTCAACCACTCAGCTTTGCATTGTGACCGAGATAAGGTGTCATCCGATGTTGACAAAGGCTTGGGTACGTAATCGGGCTCCTTCCCAAATTGGCGGCAGTGCCTGAATCTGAATCTCTTAAAGGTGTCTCCCAGGCAACCGTAATCCGTTTGCTATCATACCTCACTCCCGTCTTAAACCACATCCCACTTCTCCCACTTCTCCCACTTACGCCAACAACAACAAAAACAATAAAGAGACTGTCACCTCTCCCCGAGTCTCTTCTCAAGCGTTCTATCTGGTCGAAACCTACACAGTAGATATCAACACTTTCTACGACTCACAACATCCAACATGTCGGTCCCAAGCACCGAAATTTCCAGCCATGCTAAGGTGAGTTACATCTGAATTTCAGCCATCGATATCAAGATGGCATTACTGACAAGAAACCCAGAGCATCAAGGTTGTCATTGTCGGCGCCGGCTCTGTCGGTGTTACAACCGCGTATGCGCTCCTTCTCAGCCACCTGGCTCCCGAGATTGTTCTCATCGACATTGACAAGAACCGCGCCCTCGGCGAGGCCATGGACCTTTCTCACGCTGCGCACTACGCGCACGCCAAAGTCAGCGTTGGCAATTACGAGGACTGCGCCGGTGCCACGGCCGTCATCATCACTGCCGGCGTCAACCAGAAGCCCGGCCAGACCCGTATGGACTTAGTCAAGACCAACTTTGGGCTCTTCGAGAAAATCGTGCCGCAGATCGCCAAGCACGCCCCTAACACCATCTTAATCGTGGCTACCAACCCCTGCGATGTCCTCACCAAGGCCGCCCAGGAGCTCAGCGGCTTCCCTGTCCAGCGCGTCATTGGCTCCGGAACCGCGATGGACACTACTCGTTTCCGCCACGAGCTTGGCAAGCACTATGGCGTCAACCCCCGCAACGTCCACGCCGTCATCGTCGGCGAGCACGGCGATAGCCAGCTCCCTGTTTGGTCCCTCGCCACCATCGCTGGCATGCGCCTCGAGGATTATTGCAATCAGAAGGGCATTGCATACGACGAGAAGGCTATGGACGCCCTGGGCAAGCGCACTCGCGAGGCGGCCTACGAAATCATTCAGCGCAAGGGCAAGACCAATTACGGCGTCGCCAGCGTGCTGGTCAGTATCCTTGAGCCCATCATCACTAATGCCGATCAGCTCGTTACTGTCTCCAGAGTCGGCAACTACGCTGGTGTCGAGGGTGTCGCCTTGAGCATGCCGTGCAAGCTCAACAGCCTGGGCGCCCACCAGGATGTCGAGCTGCTTCTGAACGACAAGGAGAAGGAGGCGCTGCGCAAGAGCGCTACCAGCATCAAGGAGTGTTTCGACAGCGTTGCCAAGAAGGAGTAGGTCGACTTCTTGGTCACCGTCAGGATGACTCTTCGTGGCTTCAACGCCGCTCGCCGTGCTCGTCACGCTGCCCGCGAGGCTTCTCGTGTGGCTGTTCGTGAGGCCGCTCGTGAGAAAGCTTTTGAGGCTGCTCGCGAGGCTTCTCGTGAGACTGCTCGCAAGGAGGCTGCTCGCAAGAAGGCTTCCCGTTCCTCTACTTGATTTGTCGTTTGCAAGTTATACCAAAAGCGGTTTTTCTTTCCTTGCTGTTTCTTTTTTCATGAGCTGGATTGGAATGGTTTGGGCTTGCTGCAAAGAGGTCTTCATCAACAGCAGCATATAAAGCGGGTTTTCTCTTTTTGCTGTCTTTACTGGGCTAGATAAAATGGTTCATTTTGCAAAGAGGGCTTCTTCGTCGCCTTGACCTTAGGCTAGGTGGGATACTATAGCATGGCGCAAACGGATGGGAGATGATTACAATTCATGGTCTACTAGCTAGAGGTACCTCCGGTCATGACTGGAGTTCACTGATTAAAGAGCAGTAGCAATTCAAAGTTGCATAACTGAAGCTCGTCCAGAGCTCTTTCCTGTCTTGATGTGATGTCCCATGTAGATGTGGTAGATAAAACCCAGGGCGGCTAGGTTCTAACTGCCCAAAAGATACCTCCTGCTAGGGAAGGAGCTACCTTACGCAGAGGTAGAGAACACACAGGCGTGGAGACACCGAGTCACCCACTCACTCGACTCCCGGCGGGCAAATCTTGTCTTCCTGTCTTCTCCTCTTCCTCTTCTCTTCTTTACTCAAGGTCAATGTATGCGGAACAGCTGACAACAACAGTATCGCGCATTCCCGAAGTCGACAGGCGAGTAGTACACTTGACTCTAATCTGCACACTCGTAAATGGCCGACTCTTCTTACTTTGCACAAGTCCAAACTTTTAATTGCTCCAAGCTAACCGTCAAGTACGGCTTCAATTTGGCAGGCTCGAAAACACCCGACCGTCTCGCAATTTACCAATCGACTATAAACACAACACTATACCTCGGTTTGAAACAATGCAAGAGCTCCAGGATACGCAGATTATTGGAGATCCCCATGTTGGGTATTCACTTCCATTTGGCAACTCTCCTATGCTGTGCTCGTCGGATCTCGCCCGGGGAAACATCATGCGATTTCCATATGACTTTGGGAAACACCGATCTTCAACCGCGGAAAAGGCACTCGACTTCGTCTATTACCAACTTCCCTGTTCGGACCGAAAGGCACACTGTAACTGGACAACGAGGGCTTGGTAGCTGGTCAGGGACGAGCATACAACTACAGTCTCTCAGGACACGAGAGGACAGCAACAAGTGATGCATCAGCATTACGACCCAACCTCGGAGTGTAAAGATAATGGAATGCAAGCCATTCTCCAAGGTTATTTGCACTGCTATGCAGATCACGAGATAAAAAGACCTGAACCTGACCGATTTTCACATCTGACTTTCGGACAATTTTACCGAGACCCTCGCTACGAAGCACAACACATGAGACAGCTTTCCCGCTATCAGACAAACCAACCGACGCGCAATGGCGCAACAGTGCGCAAAGGCAAAAACGGGCAGTGTCAGCTTCGGCTGCTCGGTCTCGTGTGTAATCGGCAGTCGTCTTCTGAGTCGACGTCGATCCAGCAGGCATCCAGACGCCCCAGACGGGGGCGATCAAGAACAAGGAACCGAGGATAACTCAACACCGAGATCTGAAAGGGGATTAGGTTAGTTCATATATGAAGTGGGCTTGGTAACCTGGGCATCGCTTTGGTGTGGACGCACGCTGCCACGCATGACAACAAAGGGACAAGGACATGGTCATGAAGCCTGAAGCAGGCGAACAACTTTACACGAGAACACGACAGGTCGCCCCAGTGCCGCAATATATGCCCGGCGTGACACCAAGACGAGGTTAATAAGTAAGGCTTGATTGCATAGATGAACAGGAAGAGACCCTTGAGGTGGCATCATCCTGGATTTGGAGATTCTTCATGTCCAAATGGGATGTGCGGTTTCACAAGCAAGTTCACGGCATCATCATCTTACATACATGCTTTCGCCTAGCAACGGAACACAGATATCGCCTGTATCGGCACCGGACGACGTTTGGACTTATCTTCGTTCCCTGAAGAGCTTCGGTGGCCAGCCACACCACCACCTTGCTGCTAGTCGGCGCCTCCCGCCCAAGCCAGCAAGACTGACTAAAGCCGGATATTTTTCGCCGCGCAGTGTCGGGTCTGTGGCCTATCTTCGACACCAACTCACCTTTCCCTCCATATCCCTCTTGGTATTTTTGTTGTCCTATCCGCGCGCCTATTGATACGAAAGGCATCCGGGAAGGATCCTTTACAGCGTGGAGGTGGCAGCGCTATTACCGTTAATGTCGACATCCCGATCCGCGCTCGCGCTTTTAGAAGGGTTTTGGGAGAGTTTGAGCGCCAGGGGTTTGTGAACCAGTTCCCTGGGACCTCTGGGAGTCATGCAAATGGGACGTTGACAACCAATCCATGCGTCCCTGGCTGAATTCTGTAACAGACTTGAGGCCCTGTTCCGGGCCTGGTCGTTACCTGAGAGAACCAATCACGACAGCGACCGACACTACTGGGGACCGCTGTGGCTGGAAGGAACCGGTAGCCGCTTAAATGCTACCATTGCTATCAAGAGAAACTCCTAATGGTGGGAAGGGAAAAAAACAATGGGGGTCAAAGGTCTGGCCGGTCTCATCCGAAGTCCGAAGGTTGAGAAATCCACCTCTCGACGACGGCAGCATGATGGCCCTAGGCCCAGTGTAACACGGCCAAGTCGACAACACAGCACTCTGATGGATGATGTATTTTTGGTGGCGGAGCTCATGCAGCCATCCAAAGGGCCAAAGGCCGCCTCCATTGACCACTACCATCGCTTGAGAGAGGTTCGGTCGTGCTTCATCCCCACTGGCAGCCTCATTTATTCGTCTTGTTTTGGCGATCCACAGGCACACTCTACCGTAAAGCAGTTTCCCGATGTAGATCGTGGATTGGTATCCTTCCTCTCAACAAGGCAATTGCACCTCCGGCTCTGCCTCAGGCTTATTCTTTGGAACGTCATTGGGCACGGCAGCAACAGCTTACTTCGGGGCCATCCGATGAGTGATCGTCTACAGGACGGCACTTCATTCTACCTGCGTCTTGCATCTGCAGGCTATCTGTATGCTTGTCCACTTTAAACTGACGGTGTGCGTAGGTGTGTGCAATGGAAGAATAGCTCGATGCTGCTACGCATGACACTCGCATGTAAACACCAAAGGTCCAACTACAACTGGGTGGTGAGCCATACCGGCGGCCCACTCTCACCCATGTCCGACACTTCGAAATGGTGACATGGTCTCGATGGTCATACAGAAACGGCTACCGTCCTCCTTACCGCCTTAGACCTAGCTCAGTACTCTTGTACCGAATTGGTAGATACCTGCTTACCCACCGTACCACTCATCGTCCGCAAAACTTGAGCTCTTTGTACGATGCTACTTTCGACCAGAAACAACATGACGTCCCGAGGACGACCCGTAACACACCCCGGCTAGAACACCGCGCTTTCGCGCATCCTAGGCCCCTTGATGGCCCTGGCTGACCGAGACTAACTACCGGCCACTCTCTCATCCTCCAAGATGTATAAGATTGCTGGCCAGATCCCCGTGTTCGTGTTGTCAGTTTTCAGTCATTCAAGTCATCAAGCTTCCAGTCATCATTCACTCGCTTCTTCACTTATTCTAGCTCTCTTCTCAAAAACTTCCAGAATATCTTGAACGCATCTAAGCAGCCATGCCTCATGCCACATCCCCATCCCCATCCATCAGTTCTGATGGTTCGGCCAGGAGCCGTCACCATCACCGTGACCGTGACCACCGTCGTCAGAGCATGGTTCACTTCGAACAGCCAGAGCAAAAACAGTTCCGCTTCTGTGCAGAACTGACCCTCCAGGTTCGAAGCCGTCGGGCTGACCATCGAAGCTCCGAGTCTCTTGGAGATGAGTCCGCTACTCCCTTACCAATGGGGGCATCAAGTCTCAAATTCTTTCGGACAGCGCATACGATAACGACACACACACCAACACACCTTCATACAATAAATGGACGATTACAAGTGACCATTCTATTCAGTCCAAGCCCACCGAGTACAAACACGCCATGAAGTTTGTCTCTCCACTCTTCCGCTTCTCCTCCTTCGACACCTGGATTCAGCATTTCGAGAGTTTCATGCAAGTTCTCAACCGGGACTTCGAGACCACTTCCACACACGAATGCAGCACTTCCATCCACCTTGCTCCCCTAGACTCGGAACACCCAAAGTGGTCACGCTCCGATATGCGCGCCCTTTCCAAGTCCATCCTGTACTTTGAGTCCTGCCTCGACGCTGTCATGCCTCTATACCGGCGCACCTCGGTCTTCGCCAAGAGCAACCGGAACAACAAGCAAATGGCCTACCTGACCATTGCTGAGTGCTTCTCATATCTGGACTCCCTCAACGAGCGGAAACATATTGCGGGCGAAATGGTCCGCTGCGATCCCAACTCATCCACGGGCAGGGCCCTCGGCCAACGGTCTGACTTCCTTCACTCCGGCTACCGGTGGAACTTTCTCAACCTCGTGCACAACAAGTCTCGGGGCACCATCGAGTTCCGCCAGCCTCCTGGCTCCACCACTTCCGGTGAAGCCATCACTTGGATCATCCTTGCCATGTGCTTTGCTCAGGTCGCTTGTGCGAAGGGTGACTCGCTCCGGCCCAAGGACCGCCCCAACGTACAGACGCTGGGCGATTGGGTGCACAGGGAGGCGGTGCGTGCCGGCGTTCCTTCTGAGCACAGGAGGAGGCTAAGGCAGCTGTTCGATGATGCGATGCCTATCGTCTCAGACTCCAAGAAGGCCGACTTGGGTCTCGTCACAGCGGAGCCGCCGATTACAGTGCTTGATAAGCATGGCTTAATCTGGAGAGAGAAGGGTGAGAGAAACGTGGCAATGGAGAAATATTGGGGTTTTTTTATGCCAGAAGTGACTAAGTTCGGAGATTCTTCGAGGCTTTAGTGTCTTCTCCCGAGGTGTTGCTCTTTCTTTTCTTCAGTTGCTCTTTTGGAGTTTCTTCCTTTTTTCTGACTTTCAGCGTTGTTTCCTTTACCTCATTCTTACTTCATTTTTGCATCATATGGCTGCCGCCCAGATTGGTAGATCGAAAACATCACCACAGCACAGACACACACACACGGTTGGGATACCGCTTTGGGGAAAACTTGGGGTTTTGGGAAGCATTTAGTGGTGGCATTCTTCACGATCTTACGATTGACGGCGGTTTTGGATCAAATGGCATTGCTATGGGTGAGATACTGGACGGCAGGCACAGCAAGTCCGAGTTTGACTTGATCTTTATCTTCTTTCATTTTATATTCTATTAATCGGCATCATATGTTACTTAATCTCACCATCATTCTGTGTCATCAACAAATGAATTTAAGAATCCTTGAAGGAAGATGGACCATTAACATAATGTGACTAATATCTGATTAACTCGACAAGTGCCTTGTGACCTACACAAGAAACTTTGTCCTTCATCCGCGCACTTTCTTACCTCTAGTGTTTATTGCCTACCTCAAAGTATGAACTAATTCATCCTTGTCATTTCCTCCCTCCCTTCCCGTTTACTTCATCCTTCTCCCCTTTCGCTTGAAATGGAGGGAGGTCTTCAACCCATCGCAGAGCCTCACGCCCTCCATGTCCCCCTCCGTCGCACCCGTCTCACCCGTCTCACGACCCAAAGTCCCCCCTCCCCAGGAAAAAAAGAAGGCAACTTACACATGTGATCAATCCGCACAATGTTACCATTTCACCAACTACTTACCTACCCACCTAACTCATCACTAAATACCAAGAGCATCCCCAACAACAAGAAAAAAAATGATTGGATCCACTCACTCCCAGTCCCAGACCGCCAGTTTGGTTTCCAATATCGAGTCAGCCTTAGAGTAGCGTAACTGGACACAGCCGTCACCAACTAGTCACAACAGGCAAACAACACCGATCATCCGAACGTTTGGGTGCGAGTATCGGAGATATTTCCTATATAATACGGCAAGATTGATAGACTATTTACCTACCCGTATCCTTGGTACGAGATTGGAGGCATTCATGCAATTGTCAAATGACTCAAATCAGATGAGCCTCGATCCAATTTACCTACTTATTTACCTAAGATATTTGGTGAAGTTGCTCGCAGAACTAGAGGGCTTTGTTCAATGCACAAGCAGGCAAACAATACCTTACCGATCACCGAACGTGTGGGTGTGCGAGTATTGGAGGTGAGTAGGTAAGGTAAGTTAGGTGTCGTCTCGACGTTAGCCGGGGCATTCATCGGAGAATTTTGACGGGAGGGTATCGGAAGGGTCAAAAAGCCCTAATTCTAATCTATCTATCTATCTTGCTGCTGAGCCTGCTGGTGAGAGGTCGCAGAAAAGGGGGGGCTTGTGATCGATATCGCGGAGGATCATTGGTTGGGTGTGCGCACAGAAAGAGCAAACACTTTTCTCTGCATCAGACTGGATAAGTAGTTACTCATTGCCCACTTGCCTTCGAGACATGCAGTCGGTGTATAGGTAGACGTATCAAGTATTGTAGGTAGGTATGTGGTGCGTTCGGCGAACAAGATCCGACCGACTCTTCAGGTTTTTGTTCGGATGTTGCCTGTTCTGTGGTCAGCGGTTTGTTCGTCTGCTTACCCTGCATGCTATCTGAGCTGGTACGGTAGGTCTCTGGTTCAATAAATTGGTTGGCCTTGCGCTAGTTAGTCACAGTGAAGTCTGGATCGGAGAATAGGCTGTAAGGCAACTAACCGTATAATCAACATTGAAGCCGTTCGGGGCAATATGAAATCTCTGGAGGCTCCGGCAGCGCAATCGGAGTTCACAGACGCACGCACCTCTGAGTCATGGAACAGACACGGCACGGTCCCGAGATCTCCCTGTGGGGTTGCTGCAGTCGGTCGGGCATATCTGAAGGCAATGGCAGTAGTAAGACACACAGACGGACGCCTTATAGCTGAGACAAACCGGTAATGCTGGGATCAAACTTGAACAGTCTCCCAACAAACGTGGCAGCCTTGCGAGAACTGTTGAAAGTTCTGGGTTGTCCCTAGCTGCTCCAGTGGTGCTTATCCGGGTTGAGACTGAGACAAACATGAAGTTGAGTATCAGACTCTACCTAAGCGAGGCTCGGTGAAGCGAGGCTTGAGGTTGGGTTGTACAAGTGTGTTGGCGTTGGGCAGGTTTCGGTGAGGGATCTGGCAGTTCCGCCTCGTGATTTGAGGCCGCAAGATGTTCAGATAAGGATGTGCGAAGAGGGTAAAGACAGCTTGAAGTCAGGATATCCCAAGAAAATGTTTGTTCACCTTGTGAAAGCGGTTGATGGCTGAGGACTCCTTACCCAGGGGGCTGTAGACATCATAATTAACACGCGCCTTTCTGTTCTCTGTGTAAGGCTGGATTTGACCGGTTGCTTCACTGTTGTGGGCCAAAATTCTTACCCAATTGTCCTACCGAAGTCATAGACAGCTATTATCGCCGCTGGGCATCAGTTCTGCCGCAATGACAATTTTCTGCGACTCGTAACCCAACTGCAAAGCAATTTGTCGGCGGGAAGCTATCAAGCAATTACATATACTGAGCGTTAGCTGATGGCATCATGTGAACGGCAGATTGACGACATCTCACCTTCTCCTCCAAGGCAAATCCTCGGTTCGAGCCGAGAAAATGGCAGAAGAGCTACCTGTTCACTACCATGAATGATCCCAGAATGCTGTAGCACATTCATCAAAGCTTCTCTCACAAGAATCTAATATTGCAGGGTTGTACAATGGTAGCTTGAGCTCTTATAGCTTGTAGCTTGCCAGTATTGAATGGATAGCAGGGATGGATGTCCGAGAACGGAAGTCGGCAGTTGGGCATGGCGGCGAAGGGCAGCGGGACGGATACCGACATTGAAGTCTTGACAAGGTGGGAAAACTTGCAAGGCGAACTTGAAACTAGAGAAGGAAGAACGTAAAAGCTGACACGTGTTGAGGAAAACTGGCCAGGATGCGAACCTGGTGAGGATGGAGTGAAGGGTCCATAACTTTCGGGGTTCAACGATAGTGGTGCCATGTATTGGATGCCTGGTCGTCCGGATCCTGGCTTCAGTCGGTTCGGTTGTCAAGAAAGAGAGCATCTCCGAGTGCAGCTTCACAGGGAAGAAAGTGAGACATGCTTACCAGGTGTCGAGCACGGCAGAAGTGCACTGATCATCCATGGGAAGTGCGAATAACTCATGTGGGCAAGGCAAGAGTGAGAAACAAGTGACAATGACGACTGATGCCAGCAGAACGCCTTGTCTCCCAACTCCAACTGAACATGTCATTCCATGTTATTCCCATATTGTCTCAGTCATCGAACATTGCAGACCCTTCTCGAACATGGAAAAATGGCGTGAGGTACCCAGATGTACCTCAAGACTCGAGGAAAGTATACCGCGTTTTTCCTTCCGTAGTACCTTCCACTTCTCTTCACGTTGGACAGGTGGGCCGGTTGAGCGGGCAGTAGCAACTGTCTCAACTGAGACACTCGTGACTTTGGACGGTACACCGCAGGTGAACTGACGTATCTATGCCCAAAGATTATGGCGAACCAGCCCCCATCTCCTCACTCGGCACCGAAGTCTCGGATATCCTGTTTCTGGACCGAGAACTTACGAGTGTCAATGTCCAAAGGGCCACTTTCTCAAGAGTATTGACCAGTCTTGCTGAGGGTTAGGGTTTCTCCGCCACAGTGAGCCGTAATGAGCCGCACTTACAGTACCAAAAGCAGTGGCAAGGCACACAAGCCTTTCAGACTATCATATCATGTTTTGTCGACTTTCTTCTTCTTGGTAATTAATTCGAAAAAAATGTGGAAGGGTCTGAAGCTGTCACCTGTGCTCTGCGGGAAGAGTCTGGTGTTCATAAGCATCGATCACCTCGTTCTCCTTTGACGCGAGATTGTAGGCCAAAGACTTTGAATGCCTGAGACTCATTGTGTTTGTGTAAGTTTTGTTTACATCCCTGACGCCGTGCGCCTTTGGATGTCTCAGTATAGGAGAACTGATGCATGGTTGTTGGGGGCACTTTCAGGATCTTTTCAGTTCCAAAGCTAGGCATGCCCGCTCTCAACTTGTCGGCATTGCAAGAGTGTGCCGAAAATTATGACGCCCTGGTGAACATGAAAATGGAAATTGTTCTTGTCGGTCCAAGACATCCGGTGCTATCGCAACGACTGGGTCGAAACTGATATGTCACAAAGCATAAGCAACCCGAACTGCATCGCATGTCGAGTGATGCACTACCCGATTTCTCACCAGGTTTACCCTGGCGGGCTTTCTCGACAGCAGATCAACGATCGGACATGGCGGTTTAAGCTAACACTCGAACTTAAAGGTGCATCAAGGCAATCATAAGCGAGGCTATAACGACTTTGGAGTTTTCGGGATTTGGTGTAGCAGGATGCGAAGGTGTGCACACCATCGGCCGCCCCGAGAATTTCTCAGAGATATGCTGTGTATGATGATGGATTCACAGGGAAGCTGGTTAAAGGAAGGAGACTATGGAGCATGTCGGGATCGGTGGTCTCGAGAATTTGATGAGAGATGATGCTGAGGGCGGCAATATGAGGACGCGACAACGACGGTGTGGTCAGTACCTATGGTCGGCGTTTTGCTTCTCATGTGTGACGGGCTGAATTGAGAACACAGGGAAAGAAACCATAATGAAAGAGAAACGGAAAGAACAAGAAGAATGTACGAACTGAAGAGAGGTGAATGGAGAACAATCCCGGAGTATGTACGGTCCCGGGAGCCACCCGGCCGAGCCGAATTGTGGAGTCACACTCCCTAGGCCCCGGCGCTTTTAGCTTCCATAGAGTTTAGGAACCGAATGCTTACGGCGATAAGAACAACGACTTCCGGTCAGCAAACGGGGCCGGAGATCGGCATTCTGCAGATTTTGTTGCAGCAGCGCTACACGATAGCGCCGATGGCATCTGCAGGCATCATTTTCACAGCTTTTACGGGACGGTTTGTTTTGCACATGTCTTTCGGTCGCGCTTATTGTGCTCAAAGTTGTTGATAGAACGTAGTGCCAACAGACAGACGTTGAAGTCCGTCCATCACTATGACGGATTGATTCGAGACCCCTTCGTCTTGAGCTTGATGTTAAACTTGGTGTTGAGTGATGGTTTTCGGTCTGTTTGGTGCATACTAATGTTTGGCAGGGGTTCCTTTCACTCCGGGTAGAAAAGGTGCAGACAAAAGCTCACACTGAATGGGAAAGTGCGAATCCCACCATCGTCGATGCACCAGGGTATATTCCCGCTGACTAAACCATTCGCTACGATCCCGTTCGATCTCGGAAAGATGGAAGGAAGCATGTGAAGCAATCGCCGGAAAATGCCATGCAGGCCGGTGGCCGGCTGTTGCCAACGTAGCATCGTCCGGATTGACCGCCAACTTACGCAGAGTTTGGTCAAATTGTTTCATGACCTGGAGAGTACTGCGCACCTTCCGCAATAGGAGTAATGTTCTTGGGACTGTCAGTCAGTATCCGTCAATCAATAGAGTTTGCTCTTGCTTTGTCCGACCAGTTGGTTGTCACTGTCTGACGACAGCTTTGGCAAGAAAGCGGACGTTCTCTTTCCGTCCTCAAGTCGGTGAATGGGACGGGAAGGAGCAGTTGCCGATATAATGGAAAGGCCTAGTTGGAGTGGAAGTCGGTGTCGGCCCGGTCCGCTCAATCTGAGCCCTAGCCAGAACCAAATTCATCCGCGGCCGCAAGCGGGATCTCGGTAATCCAAACGATCCAATGAGTGTTCATCCATTCTTTCCAATAAACTTGATTTGCAACAACCGGAATATGCAAGGTCATCAAGCTAGTCGGTGAAAAATTTGACAGCAGACCCAGAAACTGGTCTGTGTTCTTCGTTCTCTTAGACGTCGAGGCTTTGAGATGTCTCACAGAGTCCAACAGCCAAGAAGCTTTGACGACAATCGACCCAAATCGGAAGGAGGGGATCCACTCGAGGTTAATGTCCAACAATCGAAGTCCTTGGTGAGCGTCACGGTGCATTCCACCAACTGAAGAACAGAAATCGACTCTGATCCTTTAATCGAGGGCGTCCTTGGAAGGTTCAGAGTTTCGAACCATGTGCGAACCGTGTGGAGAAAATTCGTCGGAGAGGTTGAGCATTCGAAGGTTATGTTTTCGTCCGATAAACCGATACAGCTGCTGACTTGTGTTCTGGTGCAGCGCAAGTTGTCAGAAGATCTATGATCCGACAGCTTCATTTCTGGCCGTCGTCGATAGGCCGCCGAGGGAAAAAAAAGGGTTGGCCGGAGAAGTCGTCGACGAATATCAAAGAGAAGCCTTGATGTTTATACTTTCTCCATCCCCTGCCACCCGAGGCCCTACACACCGAAATTTGGACCGCGGATGACGTCAAGAGCGGTCTTTTCAATTCCGGCCTTCCACTCTACTGTTGCGGCAGTTGTGGACCGGGAGGAGATCGACAACGGAGCTGAGTCGACCATTCAGATAGGACCGATCGAGTCTTGTGCCGGGAACTGCCACTTCGGATATCGAAAAGCTTCCTAGTGAAACACACTTGGCATCCACAGTCAACAAGACGGATGGTGTTTACCCGCCGTTGCAACGCATCGGCTTCCCTCGACCATCCCAAGAGCCTGCCTAGGTGACCATGCCCCCACAGAATCGAAAAGAGCCAGCCATCCCTCTTCCAGGAATGAGCTCCGATGGATGATCGATCGAGTCTTTTCACGAACTGCTATCTTTGTTAGAGGGGGGATGTTTGGCTATAAAAGAGCTCTTCTGAGCAGCAAAGAGTCACAACTTTGAAGCTTCAAGCCAACTTCACACTTCTCTTTTGTAGTCGGGTTGAAGCCATGGACACCATCACCAAAGACTTCACAGCTGTGATTCCCTTCCGGGAGATCAGCCTCCCTCCACTGGGATCACTCGCATCCAACATCCTCCTCTTCAGCCTTACAGTGATCGCCATTCTCCTCGTGCCTGTAAGTCGAGAATCCACCATCAGTTTCTACACAGCCTCTTCCGCCTACCTGCACCGGTCCACCACGACGTACGGTCTTGCGCTTACTAACCAGACCATCCGTCTTTCCAGTCCATCTACCAGGGACTCACGTGTCCGTTGGGTCATATTCCCGGTCCCTGGTACACCCGCTTTACCGACTGGGTTCTCACGTACAAGTGGGCTGTCGGCCAGCGCTCCTTCTACGTCCACGAGCTTCACAAGAAGTATGGCCCCGTCGTGCGCATTACCCCGGACGAAGTAGACATCTGCGACGTGGCCGCCAAGCAGATCATCTACACGACCAAGGAGAAGTTTATCAAGTCGCCGTGGTACCAAGGTCTTGTCGGCATCAGCGGCGACAACATCTTCACCACGCAAAATGTCGACGCCCACCGCCGCTACCGCCGCCTGCTCTCGGGCCCCTTATCCGAGACCTCACTCAAGACTGTGGAGCCCGTCATCCGTGAGCGTGCCGACCTGGCCATGCAGAGGATCGACGAAGATATCAAGGCCAAGGGCTTCGTGGATGTGTACAAGTGGACCATGTTCATGGCCACCGATATCATTGGCGAGCTTGCCTTTGGCGAGTCCTTCAGGTGTTTGGAGCACGGCGAAGTGACGCAGTACATCAAGGATCTGTCGTCCATCGCCACTGCTGACGCCTTCCGCACCACCTTCCCCAAGATTGTCGGCTTTATCCAAAAGCACCGTATCCCCACGCCCATCGAGGGCATCAACAACGCCGTGACGGTTGGCAACAACCTGCGCACCTATGCCGAACAGTCCCTGCAGCGCTACCACAAGCTCGTCGAGGCCGACCCGTACCAGGTCAAGCCCATGCTCTTCACCAAGGTCATCAAGGCTGGCGAGGAAGACAACCTGACATTTGACGAAATCGTCGACAACGCGCGCTCCTATATCATCGCCGGCTCTGACACCACCGCCCACTCGCTCACATACCTATTCTGGTCCGTTTGCAAAAACCGCAAGATCCACGCCCGCTTGACCGAGGAGCTGCGCACCAAGCTGCCCCGCGATGACCATGAGATCACTGATGAGCACTTGCGCGACCTGCCATACCTCAACTGCGTTATCGAGGAGACTCTTCGCCTGTGGAGCGCGGCGCCATCGGCTTTGCCTCGCTCTGTGCCCGCTGAGGGCGCGACCCTTTCCGGCTATCATCTCCCAGGAAGCACGACCGTGTGCACGCAGGCGTATAGCTTGCATCGTGACGACAAGATTTTCAAGGACCCGGAGCAGTTCATCCCGGAAAGATGGGAGGAAGGAAACGCGACCAAGCAAATGAAAGATGCCTTCTTTGCTTTTGGTGGTGGTGCTAGAGGTGAGTTAAAACACAGACCCATTGATATCATATTTGTTTGCTCTTGAGATGCATCGAACTAACCTAGTGTATGTGTGATAGTCTGCGTTGGCCTTCACCTTGCCCGTATGGAACTTCGTCTCCTGACTGCCCTTTTCTTCCGAACCTACCCCAATGCTATGGTTTCGACCCGTGATGGCATGTGCGACGCCGACATGGAGCCCCTCATCTGGTTTTTGCTGTCCCCCAAGGGCAAGAGGTGCCTCATTGAGCCTTAGACCTGTCACTTGACAAGAGGGGATGTCTATTGGGACATGGGAGGAATGATGTATGATAAAATGAAAGGCTGGCGGTTGGTTAGAAGCAAAAACAGGTGTTGTTGGATTAGTTATCTGGGGATATTTGATGTGGTTGGTTCAACTTTGGTGTTAGTGCATATGCATCTTCATGACAAAGTGAAAAGAGATGGAAGTGGTTCGAAGTTCAAAAAAGGTTCCATCCTTACACCGTAAAGTATGTCTCTCCATCACGGACTATGGTTACATAGTTGTCAAACCAGCGCCCAAAGTTCCGGCCATCCAATCAGAACCATCAGCTCGGAGACTCCCATGCCATAGTAGGCAAGGTGACTGTCTTCTATAGCCCCAACTGACTCGAGCTAGTAACCAACTTTGCTGCAATGGAATATGACACAGTAAGCACCAGCTGAATTGATGAAATCCCTAGTAGTACCCATCCACGGGCACCACTATATCAAATGCCAAAGATGACCGGGTTAACGGGCCCTACCGTCCTACTCTGACGGGTGAAGAGGCTATTTTGAGAACTGGTGGCTGCTCGCTAAGCAACCCCATATTGCAACCCTAATGCGGTAACGGTCTCAATCTCGAGTGTTTTCGGGATTTGTTAGCTGGGGTATTACTGTTTCTCAACAGAACGCAAGCTTTCATTTAGTATCCAAATACTCGAAGAACCTGGTTCTGATGAGGACAGAACCGTGGATTGTGAATATGTGTCTGCACAAAAAACTGTGTGCTCAGCTCAGCGAGCTACTTAGCTAGCTGTTAGCATATGTGTGATGAATGAATAGGATGCAGATGGAGAGATATGACAGATGTGATGATACCAATGTGGTTAGAGAGGACTGGAGGAAGGGGGTATGGCCATGACACCACATTGTGGTGGTTTACAAAATGTAGATACCGTCCGCTACCCACCTTACCGTGGCTTCAAACTACCAAGATCTGGAGCCCAGGACAACCCTTGATTTTCCTGTGTTTGGTCGTTTCACGATCTCTTCGCCTTTTTCCAAAGCTTACTGAGCTCTGTGCATCTTCTCTGGCCCCGGCCTCAATCACTCGGTCAAGCCAAGATGCCACCCTCCTCCCTTCTTCGTACCTTATTCCTTCTCTCAGCAGTGGCCGGCTCAGCCATTGCCGAGCTGACTTCTGTCGCAACAGCAAGACAAGGCGACAGCGAGATTCCCAGCTCCGAGCTCAAGTTCGTTCGTACCGCGCCCAGACCACCACGACATCCAAACGTTCACGGCGGTTCTGGCCAGACAGGAACAGAAACAGAAACGGAAACAGGGGGGCTGGGCAAGAGGGACATCACGGCTTATGGCCCGAGCTGGTATGGTGCGTCAAAGCAGCTCGTTTCGCCTGAAGAGCTCTCCAGCGTATATGGTGTCTTCACCGTGCCGAATCTGAAACTGCGC